GTATGTCTTTGTGGATATAAACTTTGAATATGCCTCTATCACTAGTAAAAATTTCAGCTCGTTTGGTCGACATCTGCCGGAGATATCTCAATTTCTTATTTAAAGGGACTTTTGAAACATCCTGTAGTATAGTGCGGCTTAAGTAATTGTCCCTCTAAACAATATGATAGAGCAAAAACAGACTCTATTTTTCCGTGCTACTTGCTCATAGTTCTATTGATATTACAATAATAAATATCCTATAAAACTTGTTTCATTTGGATATACTCTGGATGTGTGAATGACGAGTAGTTTTTTTTTGAGTCACTTTTTATATTAATACGATAGAAAATTGAATCACTGTTGTGAAAGAGTAAATGAAGGCATATCGGGCCATATAATATAGGTTTTTCTAATATGATATCAAAAGTTTGTTTGTTTAATTTTTTCACGATTGAAACAGTGCATGGTAATTCTTGTCATATTTCGCTTGAACTTCGTATTGAAGTCTTGGCTAGAACACATCCTATTCATCTCAGCCTTTCTTATTGTGTAAATCTTCAACTATGTATCTAAGGTTATGTTTGATAACTGAAAGTTTGTTGTAAACAACTTACTACACAGATAGATGGATCTTTAAAAGGTTAATCGAAAATTTTACAAAAAACTTATTGAAAAACTTTCAAATATACAGTATTTGAGCTTTTCTTTTTGGTTGTAAAATACTTTCTTTTCAAGGCCAACGAATCGCACACTCACATGGAAGCTTCACTACAATCATTCCTCATATGATCCAACAAAAATTCGTGAAGACATTCAACAAGCATTCGACGATTGGGCTCGCTATACTGAATTAACTTTTCGTGAATTACTGACTGAAGATGAAAAGGCTGATTTCAATTTAGCATTTGTATCTGGTGAGCACTCATATGGTATTCCATTCGATGAACTTGGCGGACAAATATCTCGTAGTTTTTCTCTCGAACATCCTCATGTTGGACATATTCATTTTGATGCAACTAAAAACTGGTCTCACACGTACGTAAATATCTCGATACATGCATCTTTTTTTATTGATCTGTTGTGTGAATACAAAGGTATGATGGTGTTGGTTACAACTTGCGTTTAGTTGCTGCACATGAAATAGGATCTAGTCTTGGTCTTCCAGATTCAAATGATCAAAATTCAATCATGTCTTCACTTTATCAACCGATCCTACCAAATGAAATGTTACTCAAAAAGGTTTCTATAAGAATTCTTTTTCTTCTCCTCTTCAAATCTAAACTAGAACTTGATCAAACTACCAAAAATGCTCAACTTAGATCACTCAACTCGTTTCTTTTTCAAGAATCTTCGGTAACATAAACATTCAGTGAGTTAGTCATAGGATCCGGACAGTTCCATATCAGTTCCGATCTTGGGAACTGTTTGAACAGTTCTTTGATAGGAACTGATCTGTTCAAACAGTTCTTTTGAGCAGTTGAACTGAACTGTGAACTGTCCTAGGTCTAGTTAGCGACATAAATAAGAAAGGCTTTCCCAAGACTTCTCTCAGTTTGTTTTCATTTACTATCGCACATAAAGCAAGTAGGAGTAACAATAGAAATCTATATGACTGTTTGTTCATGATAAACGTTGATCATTAGCATCAATAGTCATACAATTGTAACTCACGAAATAATAAGTTGGCGTCGCTTAGTAAGATAATGATAATGGTTCATATGATCATTGTTTTCTAGGATCAAGATGGTATTCAGTCATTGTATGGGCAAAAGAAAAGTTCGATGGCAACTGAACATCTAAACAGACATGTTAGATCAGCAAAGAAGAAGAAACACAAAATAAACAAGAAGAAAAAGACAAAAACAAAAATGACGGAAAGAACGAAAAAGCCAACGAAAAAAATAACCAAAAAACCGACAACAACAACCGAAAAAAGTGAGTTGCTAAGGATTAGAGAAAAAGAGTACCTTTTAACCAACACATGCTATCTATTATCAACGTCAAATAGTCTCACATATTTTCGAATAGCTGATCAATTTTACCAACTAATAATCTATGCTTGAAGTTATAAGACAGAAAAACTATGCGAAGATCGGATATAAATCCGAGTGTTATAGGTACTTCAAAAAGTGACGAGTAGAAGGTCACTTGACTCCATTAGTGTGTCTTTTCTCATCCACAGAAACTAAGCTAAGACCGTTTATCCTTTGTTCTTCTTCAATATACTGGATATTTACATTTCAATTCATTTTCATTAGTTAATAGTACAGGGCTTGAGGTATTCCTATAATACAGTATTCCTTGAGCTAGGATTCGAAGGTCCAGCACTACCATCATCCGACGAGATAATCAAAACCTGGAAGGAGATAAAAATGAGTTTCAAAGTCAGTTTACATTCCTTATAAAGGAAACCATAACATATCTGTCCACAATGAGAATCTTTCAGTTCGCTCCTGTTGAATTTTTCCTTTTGGGTTCATTTTACACTGAAAGTGCTCGAATTCATCTGATTTAATCATGCAGAGAAGAACAGTCATCCTTATACCATGCTGCACATCACCAATAAAAAAGTGGCCGGTTTCGATGTTCGATGGGCATCTTTTCAAGGCTTTTCTATTCTCTTCAATAATCCAGGAGATCATTGCCTTCAACATCGCTCTCCTGGCATATATGATCTTGTTAACAATGTTCGCAGTGATCCTGGTCTACACTTTTACAAAATTCTTGAAGAAGGTATTACACGTTTGGGCATCGACTCTTTGATGAACAAGTTTCTTTTCTGTGCCCTTCCATCGCATTCCTATCATGTCACTCTTTGGGGTGGTTTGAACTGTAAAAATGTAGCTCAAATTGATTCGCAATATCGTTCAATGGCTGAAAACTGGTTATCAGGTTTACCGAAGTCATTTTCTGACGCTTCAAAGGATATTTTTCAGTTACCTTCGA